AGAAGATTTTTTAATCTAGCTGTTAATTGCAAAAATTCTCACCCTGACTAACTATTTATACTGATACCTGTGAACTGAGCTACTGCACTGCAGATGGTAATTTGTAATAGTAGTTTCATGTTTTGAGTGCCTGTCATTCTGGTATTCTGAATATAGATTGCTTGTCATGACATGCCAGTTACTGTGATGATGTCTCTTGGATTGGTGGATGTTCAAGAAGTAGGGGGTGGTGAATGAAAGCAAGAGAGAGGAAAAGGAATATTGTGGGACTGTCCTGCTTCAAGGTTTTATATAGTGAGATTTTTGAACTTATGTGCAAACATGAGAAGTATATAATTCTTCATCCTATTTTTAAAATATAATCTAATTTTAAAATGTTTTTTATCATATTATGTAGGGACTTAAATTTCATCATATCAACACTTGATGAAAAATACCTGCTCCTTACTATGCCTAAGATGTTTGAAATGCAGTGAGATAGTGAGTTTAAGCTTAATAGCCTAAGTTGTTTGATAATAACAATAAGCTTGTCTTTTGGATGGTTAACAACCTAAGTTTGCAGACCAAAATTGGAGAAAAAGGAGGGCTGCAAGGAAAGCCAACATTTTGTCCCTAACTTTCGAAAGTCAATTAAGACTCAGGACGTATGAGAACTTGTACGGTAACGTCATGTACCTCTGTAGTGTCCCAAATTTTCTGATCAATTAGATTATGGGGCCAAAGAGGAAAGTGATTGATGCTGTAGAGTGTGCGTAAGGAGTGTCACAAGGGGCGAAAACACTCTCTCAGGCTTTCACAGAGAGCACATTGGCCAAGCAATGGCCGTGACTCATCCAAATGGCTGACATTGACAAATGCTCTACAATCGGAGGTACAGGATCTCAATATAAATCCTGAGGGGATTTCACTGACCTTCTCAGACCAAAAAGCTACAACTCTTGTTGCATAGGTCCTGCTTTATCTTGGTCTTAACCATCCAGTAGAAATGTATGAAGTCGAAATATAGGAAGAAAAGCCATGATGGTATGTTGAGCTGTGGGCAACTCAGGTCAATAATTTCTGACATTGCCAGTTAAACAGAAGACCCAATGCTATTATTGCCTCTGGACTCTTTTAGATTATTTTGCTGAGTTTACACACCTGTAGTATTCAAATAATGGAACTTAGAATAAAAGGGGATACAGATGAATGTTTGTTTTGTATCTGTGTATGCAAAGTGGATGGGATAGATATATAGTTACATTCTTTTAATGAATAGAATGATTTGTTCAAATGGTGTTTGTGAATAGGATATCAAGTCCACATGTTGTACAACAATTAACCAGTAAGAAGAATGTATGCAGTGTGTTAGTTATTGAAACTGTCCTAGCAAGTTGATTTGAAGCTCTCTCATTGCTATCTGTTTATCAGTAAAATTATGAAAAAAATAAAAAAGAAAAAGAAAAAGAAAAAAAAAGAAAATGCAAAAATATTTTCTAAATTGGACGATTTTACCATCGCAAAGGAAATTATGAAAAACCAAAGGTCTTCCAATCCTCATCAACACTTGAATGTACCAGTATTTTTATTTTAGTTATTCTAAGAGTTACATAGTTGAATGCCATTGTCCTTTTATTTTTTGCTAGTACTTAGTGATAATGAATGTATTTCCCTTATTTATTTGCCATC